TTTCATATTTTAATAGTTCACATAATAGTCATCATCACTTCTGCTTGTAAAACAATTGGCTGTGTGCATAGTGCCATAGTATGTAAAAACATCTGTAAACGTGTTTTGAAAATGATCTTGAACTGCAGAGTGTGGTGACATCAAGATGCGTGGTCATCTCTCGCAGCAGGTTGAAGCATTCGATTTTTTTCTTCTCAAGATTTTTGGGAGCAGAAATGTGTTCTGTGAACTTGGAAGACTACCCTCCCCCGAAAAAATGTGAGCTTATTACAGTTTCCTCCTTGTTCCACCCTCCTCCAACTCCATTTCCTTGGGCTCTAGAAGAGGAAGCAGCTCCCACAACCCAGTCCTCAAACTCTTGCTTAGAATGAAGTATGGGAAAGGGAGGAGGGAAGAAGTTGGAGAAGATTGGAAGGATCAAGTAGTTGCTCACTGTTTATCGGAATAATATCTGGGAGACCTGCCCAAGTATGAGCAAGACAGAAGGAAATACGTGGAATTGTGCAAACATGCTAAAACAATAACAAAAATAGAAAAATGTTATACCAGGCTAAAGGCCGACCAAAACAACAACACACAAAAAACCATGATACGAAAAGCAGAGGAAAGGCCTCACCATCGTCATATGATAGAAAAACTAACACATCACAGAAAAGCCCAAAGAGAGCAAAACACAATAGAATTGGATAGACGGGGGTGATTACATCAAGACCCTAACAACAGAGTGGCAATAATAGTTAGAAGCAACAAGAAAAACTATAGCTACCTCTAGAAATTAATTGACTGCCTGGATAAAAACACAGTGGATAGATGCAAGAAAGACAAAGAAGTTACACTGATCAGCCAGAAGCGAATAGACATTGAAGACCAAGAAAGTCCCACGTAAGGAAAACGAGTGTTTCTGAGTCAAGAACCAAACAGATGGACCTGATGATGCATGCAAAGATATAAGAAAAGTTCTTAAAACTAAAAGTTTAAATGTGCAGATCAGATTTTTCCTGGGAAACTTAGTGGAGAAGAAAAACACCAAGATAAATCCTAATGAAACGTATGGAACTTCAAGATAAAGAAATAATAATTCAGATGTGCAAACAGCAAAAGCAAATCATATATAGCAGGAAACTGCCATCACATTGGCCTCAGACTTCATTCAATATTTCCCTAAATTTTTTCAGGAGGCATGTGGGAACTTCCTGCTCTATTTTTCTGTTAACCTAAAACTTCTCTAAAATATAATTTTTTTTTTAATTCTGAGGAAAAGAAAGCCTGGCCCCATTGTGCCGTTCCCAACCAATTGGCCAACAGACCCCAATTTTCAAGCATTAAGGAAGTCCTGGATTATAAAGCAAATGAAAATTCAAAGATGAAAAAGAGCATTTAAAGTGTGAAAACCAGCTGGACCCAGTGGCTCACACCTGTATTTTGGGAGGCCGAAGTAGAAGGATCACTTGAGCTCTGGAGTTCAAGACCAGCATAGCCAACAGAGCAAAACCCCATATCTACAAAAAAAGAAAAAAAAACCCAAAATTAGCTAGGCATGGTTGCCCACGACGGTAGTCCAGGCTGCTCAAAAAGTTAACACAAGAGGATTGCTTCAGATCAGGAAGTCAAGGCTGCGGTGAGCTGTGATTGTCCGCTCCAGCCTGGGAAAAGAGTGAGACTTTGACACAAGTAAAGTCTCCAGAGAAGCAAGAAAAACTGAAGGCGGCAAAGCACCCTGGTAGGCTAAGCTCCCCTTGGGGGCCTCACCGGGCCTCGGGGCACTGTTGGTCTTGTGCGTCCAGGACTCCTTCCCCCTCCTCCTCAACCACCAGGTTTGGGTCTGAGGACTGTCCACCCGGGACCCCACCCCTGGCCTAGCTGGACCAATCGTACCCCTCTGAGCCCTGGAAGTAGGCGCTGGTCCAGGGGCGAGACGGGATCCAGGTCGGCCAACATGGGAATGTGGCCGTGTCCTCCGCCCTGTGTTGCCATCGAACTGCCAGGGAGAGGACCTGACGCTGAAAAAGAAGGGGAGGGAGGAAGAGAGGCTGCAACTTGGACCACCTGTCTCCTGCTTCTCGTGATCCTGGAATGGCCTAGATTTGGAGGAGCCTGTGGGAGTCTAGGGCTCATCGACCTCTGTTCTTCGAGCATCCTGGAACTTTGGTGATGGGGGATAATGCAGGGGACCTCGGGCTATCAGCCTCTGATCTTCCTGACCCTGGAACTTTGTGGAACTTTGAGGACGGGACAGTGAAGAGGACCTGGGGCCGTCAGCCTCTGATCTCCAAGGATCTTGGAACTTTGATGATAGGGGGCAGTGTGAGGGACCTGGGGCCATCAGCCTCTGCTCTTCAAGGACTCCCTGGGCCTGCCGGTTTGGGCCCTTGTTCTGCAACTCGGAGGCCCTCCTGCCTCCTCAGCACTTCTCCCTCCACTGGAGCAACTTTTGTTGGCCCTTGACTGCTTCACGTGGGGATTGGCATCCTGCCCCTTCTGTCCTCGGGGTCCTCAGGATGGAGATGAGACGGGGAGGATCTGCTGCCTTAAGACCCTCACCAACCTCCTCCCTCCTTCCCAGTCACAGACTCGAAACCGCACCCCCGCCCCAGGGCGGAACTCACTTCCTGGTCATGACATCACAGATCCCTGATGTTCCACAGCGTCTGGGAGAGCAGAGACCAAGCCTGGGAGCTGGAAACCTCCTCCTTCTGCTGGAGAGACCATGGTAGCTCCCCGAGGTGTGAGGGCCCTTGGCTGTGCCTTCCTGCTGTGCTGGATGATGAGATCGAATTCAGGTAGAGTTCCCCAGCAGGCTGTTTCCCAGAGGAGTTGACTTGACCACGTGATGTGGCTGTCTCACACAGGGAATGCCGGGCCCCAAGGGAGAGGGAAGAGTGGCCAATGTGGACCTAGTGATGGGGGAGGTGGGAGTCTTGTTTCCCAAGTTAACCGGAGCAGAATCCCAGGACCCAACAGCGGCCATCTGTGGAGGCCAGTGTAGGTGCATGATGGAGAGCTCTGGAGGCCGGGCTCCGTGGCTCAGCCGTAACCCCAGCACTCTGGGAGGCCAAGGTGAGTGGATGGCCTGAGCCTGTGGGTTCGAGACCCGCCTGGGCAACTTGGCAAGACCTCGTCTCTACAATTAACTAAAAACTAGCCAGGCCTGGTAGCATGTGCCTGTGGTTCCGGCTACCTGGAAGGCTGAGGCGGAAGGATCGCCGGAGCCCAGCAGGTCTGGCCTTGACCCAGAGCCAGAGAAATGCACCAGGACACTGAGCCCACACCCAAGAACTCCAGACTGGGCGACAGAGTGAGACTCCAACTCACAAAAAAAGAAAGATCTGGAAAGTGAGGTGGCTCGTCGTGACTCCATGGGGCGGGGGCTGGGCTGAAACCGTGAGGCTGAAGGAAGAGGTGAAGGGAAGACACGCAAAGCAGGACCCTCGACAATCGCTGAAAGCCCGCGCGGAGGCCGCAGAACACAAGCCCCGCGCTGCACACGCTGCCGGCTGACTCGCACGATGCCTCCATTGTCATCACGGACAGACACGGGCTGAAAGGAGTATTTTTAACAAAGCGCCTGGCCGACGCAGCTGTGCCCATTCTTGACGGTCATTAACGTCTCATCCAGAGAGCGCGCGCCGTGTTTGCTGCGTTTCCCGAAGGTCAGCACGCTGGGAAGCAATTGTCGAGCATCCAGACCTTTCCCCACTCTTCCCTGCATTGTTCCCGGCTGCTCGCAGATGAGCCCATTGGTATGCAGATTGTCTGTCGTCAGCGCCCCTGGAAATCAGCTTCGTCATTGGTTTGGTGTCGAACTTCAGATCCTCACAGACACCCTCGAGGGCTCCTGCGGCTCAGAGAGGGGAGGTGGTGGCCCTGCCACGCCGGGCCTGGGCCGGAGAGGAGGCTGGCCTTGACCCAGAGCCAGAGAAATGCACCAGGACTCTGAGCCCACACCAAGAACGGGTGGGAGGGAGGAGCCACTGGGGAGAGGTTGGTGCTTGGAATCACCACACATTGTCGGGGTCCCTCAGTGCAGGCAGCACCTGTCATCGAGACCACCGAGGTTGCAGGTCAGGAGGCCACAGATCTTGTGGAGGCCATGGGTCAGGAGGCCATGAGTCCTGTGGGAGTCATAAAGCAGGAGTCCATGGGTCCTGTGGAGCCCTGGCATTCCAGACCCCTCGGTTCACCCATGAGACTCCTCCCAAGCAGGCACGTCCTGCTGTCCTCCAGCTCTGGCCTCTGAGTGCCCGGGTGCGTCCTGGAGGGGGACATCCTGCTTAAAGGCCCTCCTGGTGTTTTCTAGGGTGAACGCGGCCCTTGATCCTCCGGGAACTGAGTCGGCAGCACCCAGGGGGCAGGAGGGAACGTTCCCGGGTATTCTCGGGAGCAAGACAAGGCAGCACTGGCTGGTTGGGTGGAAAGTCCCAGAGGCCTGGCGGGGGCCTCTGCTTGGCTGCGCCCCATCCCCTCGTTGCCACGTGGAGCTGGGCTGGTTGGCTCGGGTGGGAGCCCAGGGTGCGGCGGCAGCTCCGCCCTGGCCCACGGTCAGTCCTGCTGGCGACTCGTAAAGGAGGCAGTGCCACTTCTCCACGGGAGCCACGTGTCCCTCTGCCATGGCTGCCTCGAGACGGCCGGCGGGCGGCATTCACAGCGCCAGGGCGGGTCCTCCATGACCCGGCCTCCCGGCAGGTCCTCCATCCCCTGGGCTCCCTCAGGTCCTTCGTGTCCCAGCCTCTGCACGGGTCCTCCATGCCCCAGCTTCCCCGCGGGCAGGCACCTCTCCCCACTTCCCAGGGAGGAGCCCCCATCCTGGCCCTTTCTCGTGACCACCTCTGGCTGCCCGCAGGAGGGACAGGCCCTTCCCCCGAGCAGGCTGGGCGACCCAAAGCCGTCCTTCCAGAGAGAAGCTGACACACGTCTGCGAGCATCGGTGAACTCCCGGGCTTTTCTCTCCCCCAGGGTCAAACTCTGAACTGTCCTCAAGTTTTGAAACTCTGGATGACGATATGGCCACAGTATTTGGTAAGGAGGCCCCAGCCCAGCTCCCGCCTGTGGGGAGGGCGGGGCCGCGGCGGCTCGTGTTTCCAGGGTACCCCGGCCAATGTGCAGCCGGTGGAGGCCGGGCTGGGGATGTGACCCAGGGTCCCCAGGTTTAAGATCAACGGCTGAGAGTGCAACTCAAGAGAGAGCGGTGACAGATGTAGTTTAGGTGCTTAGACCTAGGAAGCACCTGCGGGCCTTGACCTCAAAGCGAGGCTGTGGCCCAGCCAGGGTGGCCATGGGGAGCCCCTCAGAAATGCCAGGGCAGGCCTGGCCCCGCCCTCCTGCCATGGAATCTGCATTTGGCTCGCTCTGGCGGCTCCAGGCATCTGCGAGGCCCCGCGGTGGGCGCTTCTCCACTTGCTCGGGCTGACTGCAGGGACCCGGCCCCACCCGAGGGTGCAGACCCTGCTGCTCCAGTTGGGCCTGGAGCACTTGTGGCTCTTTTTTCTTTTTCTTTTCTTCTTTTTTGTCTTTGAGTTGGGTTCTCCCGCCGTCACCCAGGCTGAGTGCAGGGTTGCAGTCATAACTCACTGAAGTCTCAATTTCCTGGGCTCAAGCAATCCTCCCACTTCAGCCTCCCAGATAATTGGGACCACAGAACAGACCACAATCACCGATAATTTTTTTTTGAGAGAGACAGGGTCTCTCTCTTGCTATGTTGCCCAGGCTGGTCTCGAACTCCTGGCCTCAAGCGATCCTTCCCACCCCCCTCCCCGTCCTAAAGTGCTGGAATTACAGGTGTGAACCACCACACCCAGCCTGTATTTCTTCAACGCTCTCCAGGAAAGCTAAAGCACAGATGGGCTGAGAGTCGGGGCCCTGGCATGGGCCGCCCACAGAAATGCCACATGGCCACAGACGTGGTTTGCCTTCCTGGTGGCCTCGGTCCTCCTGTGCCTCTTGATGTGAGGACAGGGTTCCTGCTCACAGGCAAGGTGTGGCTTCCTCCAAGCTTCATGACATCAGCAGGCTACCTGTCTGATGGGAAAAATACTGCCTCGTTGCATATTAAAAGAAACAGATGAAGCTAATTTCCATAACGTTTTATTACTATTTCAACACGTAATCAGTCTAAAGTTATTAGTGCGATGTTCTTGGTCTTTATATCTCACAGAATCGTCATAATCCAGTGTGTACTTTGCACCTAAACAGCATGTCAGTTTGGACCAGTCCCATTCCAGTGTGTCCACATGGCCAGAGCTACCCCGTGGCCGGTGCCTGTGGTCCCGGTCTGATGCCTCATTGTATATACGGGGAAACTGAGGCCTAGAGAAGTTCCCAGCATGGGGTCCTGACTAGGCTCACGCCAATGCCCTTGGCAACACGGTCACCTCCCATGCCCTCTCCACCCACCGTCACCCTTGAGTGGGGTCAGGAGTAGATTGAGGACCTTCTGCCATCCACCTGGCAGGACCCGGGAGTGTGGGTACTGAGGCTGCCCTCTGGGCTGAGGTGCCCCAGACAGGAGGGTTCCTAATGGACGCAAGTGCCCTTGGATGACAGGAGCCCTCCAAGGAGTTGCCTGTGTCAGGACATGGGCTTTGCCACCTCTCCCAGTCTAGGGAGTAGAGGCCCCAGGAATCTTCTGCGACGGCCAGGTTGACAGGTTGGTGGTGGCACAGATGGACAGGTGAGCAAGTGGGTGAAGGATGGACACATCCAGGTCATGCATGGGACACCGCCGTCACCTTCCCAAGCCGTTCCTGCCTCAGACTCGGGAGGTTTGGCTTCCACGCCACAGTGGCATCACCTCCCTGAAACCAGAGACTCCAAGAACCGGTGGTGGAAGCATTGTCCTCGCACAGTGGTGACATCATGTCCAGTGACCTCCCCGTCTCTTTCCCTTATTCCACATGAGCCGGTACGGGGTGACCAGCTGCCCGCTTTGCCCAGGGCTGAGGGGCTCCTGGATGCGGCCCTTTCCGTGCCCAACCCGAGGCCCGGGCAAGCCAGGACAGCGGGTCACCAGGGACTCCAGGCAGCACAGCCCAGCCCCACGGCCTGCGGGGTGACCGTCGCGCCGTGGGGAAGGGGCGATTCCCAGCCGCGTGACGCCGGGCGGTGTCCAGGCTCCGTGCCGAGAGCTCTCTGCACACACGGCTGTATTGGATCCTCAGAAAAGCCCGTGGGCCCGCACACCCCATTTCACAGACAGAAGCTGGAGGGCAGAGCCTGAGCAAGCTTGTCCAAGCCCGCGGCCTGGCAGGGCAGAGTCACATCTTGGGGGCCACATTTGCCAAGGTACCGATGGTCTCGGTGTTTCTGAAATGACTTAGGGACGCGGTGCTGCCCGCCCCGACACGCGGCTTTAGGGTCAAGTTCCAGATCCCTCGAGCCCCTCAAGTTCCTCAAGTTCTTGTTTTCCGTCCACCGTGCTCACGGGCTGCCCCAGGCGCCTGTGCACAAAAGGGTGAGTCCCCGCAGCCGGCTTTAACGTGTGCTTGTGTGCTTTCCCCAGATGAAATTCTAGTCCAGGATATTGTGGAACTGAACAAATCGACACCCACCAAAATGGCAAAGGCAGCAGGGACGCTGTCCACGGTGGCACCCACGGAAAGAGGTAAGTGTGTCCTTTTCTCACACCATCATTGCATGCATCCTTGGAGTTTTCTGTGGACCTGATCACATGACCCTGTTACTTAGCACTAAAACCAGCTACTTCTGGCAAGGACAGATAGAAGTATGGAAGACACAGTTGTCCAAAACCATTTCCACAGGCGTCCAGAGACTGACGGGCAGGGGGGAGGCACCTTTGTTCTGGGGTGACCTCTCCAGGGCACGTCCAGGACGGTTCCTGGCCTCAGGATGCAGGTGAGGCCCAGCCCCCGCAGGGACCGAGGCCCATGGGAAACGGGGCGTTGAACCAACCAGCGCATCACGGTTCGGCAGGCACGATCTCAGGCGCGGTGACTCAGGCCCGTAACCCCAGCACTTTGGGAGGCTGAGGTGGGAGGATCACTTGAGGGCAGGAGTTTGAGACCCACTTGGGCAGCACAGTGAGACCCTGTCTCTGCAAAACATAAATTAAAAAATTAGCCGGGTGTGATTGTGCATGCCTATAAGTCCCTGCTACTTGGGAGGCTTAGGCGGGAGGATCACTTGAGACCAGGAGTTCCAGGCTGCAGTGAACTATGATTGCAACACGCGCTCCAGGTTGGGCTGCCCGGACCCTGTCTCTAAAGAAAATAGAAAATGCACAATCTCATTCCATGTTCACCTGAGGCTTCTGAGAGAGCCGGGCAGTTATTATTACCCCATTAGACAGAGGGTAAAACTAAGGTCTCACAAACGACTTGCCCAGGCCACACAGTGAGAAATGGACAAAAGCCAAGTGTCTGCGTTTCCCAAGCGCAGCTTCATGTTGTCGGAACCGCATGTCGGCCCGTGAAACGGCACCTTGAGAACAGACAGGGCCGGGAGGGACAGTCGCCGGGGGCCGGGGTGGGAGAGCCCCGCCAGGGCGTGGGAACGCCGTCAGCACAGGACGGTCCCGTGCCTCGAAGTTCTGCACCCTATGTGAACTCCAGGCCTGGGACGGGTCCCCGCCACCTGCCGAGGCCCAGCCCCCGGGGCCGAGGCAGGAGGTGGCACCCGACTCTGTTGACACATTAGCTTCCAACGGGCCTTCCCAGGCAGAAGCCGAGCCCGCCTCCCGGCCCAGCACCGTAAAAACAGCGAGGGCTTGAGGGTTTCCCCACGCGTGGCCCACAGAACTGTCCCCTGTCTCTTCCATGTTCTCTGCCGAAGAAGTACGTCTTAAAGAGAATGATCACAGCGGCGCTTCTGAGGAACACCTAGAAAAGCAGCTGTCTTCGGGGCACACAGACAGACTTTCTTCCGTTGGTAAATGCGGCCTGGCCATCGCCCCCACTGAGTGCACGCATGGTGGGACAGCGAGGCAGACAGACAGGAGAGGAAGCCTCCCTTTTGTGGGGACAAAGCAGGTGGTTGCAGAATGTGGCTGCCTTCCCGGGGGAGGCGGAGTTCCCAGGTCTCCGTTGGGCTGAGGAGCCCCCATCCCGTACCCCCTGCTGTGGGGGCCCCAGAAACCGCCACCCAGAGGGGTGCAGCAGAAATGCTGTCTCGCGGTTGGGCAGACGCCAAGACAGGCAGGAAGTCACGGCCACCCTGGCCGCTTCTCCTAGACCTTCACTGAGTCGCATCTGCTCCCCTGGGCAGGGACAGAGAGAGCCGGAGTGTCCCCAGGGCTCCCCAGGAGGGGAAAAGCCTCCCTCCAACAAGCGAGTTTGCAGGAAAAAGCCCCGTGTGCAAAGGCTCGGCGGGTGGGAAGCTTGGACCTCGTGGGGCGACAGATCTCTTTATCCCAGAGCTTAAAGCCAAGAAAGGGCAGGTGCAGGTTCTGGGACACAGGCGGGACACCTGTGGCGGGTCCCACGTGCCAGACCACGGCTCCCCAGCTGGGCGGGGCGTCAGGCAGGGGGAGGGCAGCTTATGAAATGCACATTCCCGGGCCGGCGAGCCTCGAAGAAAGGGCCGGGAATGTGCATTCCAACCCACTCTCCACACTGCCCCATGGTGAGCCAGCTCTAGCGTTGGAAGGACTGAACCAGGTATTTTCAAACACAATTCGATTTAAGTGCAATATTCCATCAACTCGTGCAAATTGTCTGATGGTTGGGAGTTAACTACGGCCGGGCGTCTTTCTGGTGGCAGCCTCCAGTAGGTGAGGTCACAGACAGGTCTCTATGGAAAGGCGCAGAGGGGTCTCGGGGCATGCGCTCCACGCCTCGGACCCGCTGAAGACATGGAAGGCACTGAGTCTGAGGTTCTGAGGCAGAGACGGAGTCGAGTCTGGAGAAGCACAGGAGTGGGGGAGGACCTCATAGGGCACAGCCTCCTCGGCCTGTGCCATCTCCACCCTCAGAGGGAACAGCGGACGTGGGGGGGCCGGAAATCAGGCCCCATGGCTCTCCAGCCCCTTCCAAGCCGTCGGGGCCACCTCTGCTCAGTCTCAGCGGCTGATCCGAGGGTCCCAGTGGAACCCTGCCTCCTGAGTAGCTCCTGAGCACTTGGGACCTGTGGACGCATTCGGCCTGAGGCGAATCCACATGTCGACAGAGATGAGTCCTTTTAACGGAGTCCTTTTGCTCCTGATCACAGAGCCAAGACCAGCCTCTTAGGGGTGGAGAGAAGAGGCGGGTGAGAGGTGGGCAGGGCCGGAGTGGACAGGGCGGCCTAGGAGGGGACTTGGGGATGCAGAAGCCACGAGGACCCTGGCCGTCCGGGGACAGGGAAGGAGATGATGCCGAGATGCCAAAAAAGGGAGCGTGAGGGGCAGTCAGGGAGGAGGCTGAGGCTGGGATGGCGTCCTCAGGGGTAGGGAGACGCCGGAGTCTGGGGAAGCAGAGCGGGCAGGAGGAGGCACAGGACCGCGCCTGGGCGGGATCTGTTTCTGAACGGACTCTCCGGGACGTGGAATCCCAGAACAACCCCGGCTCGCGGCCTGTCTGTCTGCAGCAGCGGCTCTGCGGGCGGAGCCTTGGGGCCACTCACCCCAGCATGGCGTGCAAAGAACCCCTCAGGCTCAGCTGCCCCCAGAGGGTTTCCTGGTGGGCGGGGGGGGGGTAGATCCTCTCCTGGCCCCACAGCTCCCCAGCGAGTGGCCAGCGTCCCGTGAGTCCCAGAGTCGGGGACGGCTGGCAGGGCCAGGCCCGAGCCTTGGTGACCCCCCGAACGAAGACGCCGCAAGGCAAACGCAAGGCTGGCCAAACCTCTGCCTCCCCGGATGCCTGCCTGAGTGCCCTCCCCCACCAAAAGCCAAAGTTCCAGCAAGCGACCCTTCAACTGGCAAAGTGACAGAGGCTTATTTGGCTCTCAGAGGCCGCCCTCCCCATGGGGCAGGCGCCAGGGTCCCTGTTACACCGGGGCCAGGCAATGCCAGACAGGCGCGGGCTGCACCCCACCCCTACTGGCTAAGTGGAGGGACTTGCTTGGACAGAGGGGCAAAGGGGCCTGGGGCTCCGGAAAGGCTCCAGGCCCTACCCCTCAGAGGCCCTGTCCCCATGGCACTGGCTTCCTCAGGTGTGAAGTCAGGCAGGCCATAAGGTGACAACAGTGACTGTCCTGCTTCCAAGATGCCGATCATGAACTTAACACACGGGCCGCTGCTGCGGTTCTGGAAGCCATGCTGTGGCCTCTGTGTAGGGCTGACCGGGACGTGTGGCGGCTGGTGAGAGGCAGACATGGAATAACCCGCGGTTGGCGAAGCACTTAAGCTGTGCATTCACGCAGTTTGGGGGGAGGTTTGTTTATTGTTTTTTGTTGTGGTTTTTTTGTTTTTGTTTGAGTCGGAGTCTCACTCTGTCACCCAGGCTGGAGTGCAGTGGCACGCTCATGGCCACTGCAGCCTCGACCTGCTGGGTTCAGGTGATCCTTCTGCTTCAACCTTCCAAGTAGCTGGAACTACAGGCGTGTGCCCCCACGCCCAGCTAAGTTTTTGATTTATTGTAGAGATGAGGTCTCACCAAGTTTCCCGGGCTGGTCTCAAACCCCTGGGTTCAGGCAGTCCTCTTGCCTCCACCTCCCAAAGTGCTGTTACTGCAGGTGTGAGCCACCTCACCCAGCTGGGGCTGTCATTCTGATCTCCCTGCAGACTGTCCTGAGTAGAATTCAGTCAGCCAAGACACCAACGCTGGCCACGGCCTCCGTGTGGCAAATGTGGACTGTGTGCCACCTAGCTAAAGAATCAATTTCTAGCCAGGCTCGGTGGCTCAGCCTGGAATCCCGCGCTTTGGGAGGCCGAGGTGAGTGGATTGCCCGAGCCCGCGGGTTCGAGACCCGCCTGGGCAACTTGGCGAGACCTCATCTCTACAATAAATCAAAAAATCAACTGGGTGTGAGCGTGCGCCTCTATTTCCAGCATCTTGGAAGGCTGAGGCAGATGAATCACTGGAACGGCCACTGCACTCCAGTCTGGGGGACAGAGTGAGACTCCAACTCAAAAAAAAAAAAAAGAATCAATTTCTTGTCCGACTCCTGTATTTTTCAGATGGAGAAACTGAGGCACAGCCCAGGTAAGGGAGGGCCCATGTCACTCCGCAGGCTCGAGGTACATTGGGGATCAGCACCTGGACATGACGGATCTGGCAGGAGCGAGAGGTGGCAGGGGTTTTGTGAGCCAAGAGCAAAAGCCTGTGCATTGCCGTTTGGTCGCAATGGAACCTGAACTTGGAGCTCAGCGAGAGTGGGGGCCACGAGTGGCCTGGCGTGCGGTGGGCCAGGACAGGGAGGCAGGTGGAGTCCTAGTGTGGCCACTGAGGAAAGCACCCTCGCCACTCCCTGGGGGCCTCACTCTCAGAGGGAAGGCTAGGTGGCCGCAGCAGGAGCAGGCAGTCGCCAAGTGGACTGAAGTCCAACGCGATCTTCAGCAGAGGCTGCAAAATCCATCCAGATAAAGATACTCCTTTGCAAAATGCTGTAGACAGGCAAGTCATCGCCTGCTAAGGGCCATCTCCCTATTGACAACGGAAGCTGGTGTCGGGGTGTCCTGGAAGGAGGTGACAGAAAAGCAGCAGGAAGGCAAAAGAGAGACAGCAGGCGCCCTTAAGATGCTTCCAGACAGGAGCACAGGCTCACGCCTCTCGTTCCGACACTTTGAGAGGAGGAGGCAAGAAGATCACCTGAGCTCTGGGGTTCAAGACCAGCCTGGGCAACTTGGCGAGAGTTCATCTCTACAATAAATCAGAAAAAAAAATAGCTGGATGTGATGGCACAGGATTGTAGTTCCAGCTACTTGACAGGCTGAGGCGGAAGGATCGCCTGAGCCCAGCAGGTCGCGGCTGTGGTGGCCGTGAGTGTGCCACTGACCTCCAACCCGGGCGACAGACTGAGACTCCAATTCAAACACTGAAGGAGAAAACAATCTTCCATTGTGACATTATTTGGGGTCCAAAGAAGCCCCAAAAGCATCTCAGAGAGTCTCTGACCCCTCAGCCCAGCATTTTCCAATGCTCTAGTCAAGCATCTTACGTTGCTCAGAGTGCATTGATCGAATCTAGGACACCGGCGACGGTGTGGTTTTGCAAAAGAACCTGACAGCCTCGTGCACGTTTTGTGGATCCCTCTGTTCACGTTTCTTCTGGCTCCAGAATGCCTTTCTGTGTGGGCCTGTCTGAATTTTCCCCAGGCCTAAGTCCAGCTGTGCACCTGTGGCAGGGCTGTCCAGAAGTGATGCTGTGCCATTCCCCACACAGCACCTCTGGGAGTGCACCGTGTAGGAATGTCTCCCTGCAGGATATGAACTTGAATTACTCGTGTGAGGTGGCGTCTGCCAGGTCTCTCTGCAATCAAGCTAACTTTTTTTGGTCCTGTAAATGATTGTGTCTTATGGGGATACTAATCTCGCAGACAGCAAATATCTTATGTTTCATCCTATTTCACCCACCAATTTAGCATCCAAGGATTCTTTTGTTTTGAGTCAGATTCTCCTGTCACCCAGGCTGGAGGGCAATGGCACACTTATGGCACCGCAGCCTTGACCTGCTGGATTCAGGTGATCCTTCCACTTCAGCCTTTCGAGTAGCTGGAACTACAGGCATGTGCCATCGTGCCTGGCTAATTTTTTTTAAAATCAGAGTCTCACTCTATTACTCAGGCTGGAGTGCACTGACACGCTCATGGTCACCGCAACCTTGACCTGCTGGGCTCAGGCAATCCTTCCACCCTAGCCTTCCAAGTAGCTGGAACTAAACGGCGTACACCACCATGCCCAGATCATTTTTTTTATTTATTGCAGAGACAAGGTCTCACCAAGTTGCCCAGGCTGATCTCGAACCCCTGGGCTCAGGCAAGACTCTCGCCTCGGCCTCCCAAAGTACTGGGATTACAGGCATGAGCCACTGTACCCAGCCCATGGATTCTTGACAGCAAAAATTATTACTTTAGTGTTTGCCAGAAAGTGGTTTTTCTCTTTTTATCATTCTTTCCATTGGTTAAAATTTTACTGTATCCTGTAATGCCAGCACTTTGGGAGACCAAACTGGGAGGATCACTTCAGGCTGGGAGTTTGAGACCATCCTGGCCAACATAGTGAGACCCCATCACTACATGAAATAAAAAAATTAGCCAGGCATGGTTGCATGCACCTGCAGTTCCAGCTGCTAGCGAGTCTGAGGCAGGATGATTGTTTAAGCCCAGGAGTTCAAGGTTGTGGTGAGCTAGCATCGTGTCCCTGCACTCCAGCCTCAGTGCAGAGTAAGACCCTGTCTCAGAAAAGAAAAATTATACTGTAAGAAAGAATCGTCCCTTTGTTTATCCAATTCTGTGCTCATGTAAGTGTAAATGCACTGACATTTACTTTATTCAGTGGGTTGTAGCCACTAATGTTCATTCTGATCCTCAGATGTCTCAGGGTTCTCTCGGGAGCACTGAGTCCATCCAGCACACTGCCTTCCTTTGAGCACTTTCTTCCTTTCTGGAACCTCAAGAAACCCCAGGCACCTCTTGGACTTCCCTTGCCCTGGCCCTGGGCTCAGTTGTTTCTCCAAGGAGCCCTAGTTCGTTTTACTGGAGAATGGTGTTAGAGACCAAGATCTGGTGCCTGGTGTGCTCACTGACACTGGGGTGTTACTGTTCTAGGCTCTCCCAGCAGATGGTGCTAAGAAGAACATCTGTGTGTTCAGATCTGTCTATTTCTACATCCAGCTGATGTTGGACATCGTGAATTCAGACTACCAAACCTCAGATTCAAATCCCACATCATCAGCTCATTCTAGCCTCTCTCCTTTCCCAACTCATTACCCACAATATTTTACCCATTTGCTCAGTTCTAGAACACACAGGAAGTATTTTCAAAATTGCTAATGCATAGCCCGTAAAACCAAATTTACTAACTAGAGGACAGGATTTGTGTGCAAGCTTTTGTTTTCGGCCTCGCTGTATGTGGTCAAATACTATTTTCCTAAGTTCCTCTTTTGTTATTATCTTCTTTTCCATTTTCTTCAGTGTGTTTTTATTATTTACTTCTAATATCCCATGACATTTTCATAATTCTAATGCAAAAAGTAACATATCCCGACATCTCACTCCCCCTCATTCCTGTAACCCATTCCCATTCCCCATTTTTTCTGCCTGTTTCCACACATTTCCTGTGTGTAATCAGTCTTGGTACTTTCTGATTCATCTTTCCTCTATTTCCTTGTGCACACATCAGCAGGTACATGTGTGCATTTTCTTACAGCCACTTCTTCAGAGCATTAGATGTAGCACACTATAACCTCTTCTGTACTTTTTTAAAAATCCAAGGCCAGGTATGGTGGTTCATGCCTGTGATCCCAGCATTTGGGAAGCCAAGACAGGAGGATTGCTTGAGCCCAGGAGTTTGAGACCAGCCTGGGCAACATAGTGTGACCTTGCCTCTACAAAAAAATTTTTAAAAATTAGCCAGGCGAGGTGATGTGAATCTGTTGTCCCAGCCACTTGGGAGGCTGGGAAGGGAAGATTTCCTGAGCCCAGGAGTTTGAGGCTGCAGGGAGCCATGATTGTGCTACTGCACTCCAGTCTGGGTGACAGAGTGAGACCCTGACTCAAAAAAAAAAAAAACTAACCATATACACTGTAATCACACCATTACTCCATGATAATTTTTACACTTGCACAGTTTCCCATTGTGTGAGTGTAATATAGTTTACTCAACTACTCTCCTATGCATGGACATTTAGGTAGCTTCCAATATTTTGCAATTACAAGCAGTGGTGTGATGGATAACTTTGCATAAGTATTTTTGTATTGTTGGAAGTGTACCTTCAGGGTAGATTTCTACAGTTGAATTACTGAGTTAAAAGATAAGTGCAGGCCGAGTCCAGTGCCTCAAGCCTGTCATCCCAGCACTCTGAGAGGCAGAGGCAAGAGGATTTCCAGAGTCCAGGAGTTCAGGACCAGCCTGGGCAACTTGGTGAGACCTTGTCTCTACAGTAAATCAAAAAATTAGCCCGGTGTGGTGGTGTGTGCCTGTAGTTTCAGCTACTTGGAAGGATGAGGCAAAAGGATCACTTGAGCCCAGCAGGTCAAGGCTGCGGTAGCTGAGAGTGTGCCACTGCACTCCAGTCTGGGTGACAGAGTGAGACTGACTCAAAAACAAACAAACAAGCAAACATAAGTGCAAGCCGGGTGCAGTGGCTCACACCTGCAACCCCAGCACTTTGGGAGGTCAAGGTGAGAGAAATTACTAGG